CAGTGCTAGCCCCGCCCTGTGCCCACTGAGCAGGCCACCGAAACCTGGTGAGATAGATGGCACGGGCCTGTAATCCCAGCACTGGGGAGGCTGAAAGAGGATCACTATGAGTCTCAGCTGTATAGAAAGACCCTGTACCAAATACATAAACTAAGCAAAAACCTGTTAACCTGCCGAAGGGCTAAATTACCATCTACATTTGATAACCTTTCACTTTTTAGATGAATATGTTGTTAAAGTTTTATTATATGAGTAACTGGGTTTGGCTTAAGAGGAATATGTGAGTGTATAACTGATTAAATTTGGTTTTTAAAAAGTGCAGTACATAAGATTAAATATACTGTGAAGGTTGGTACATATGTGTAGTTTTTTCTTAGCACATGTTGGCACATGTACATGAAACTTTTTTTTTTTTTTTGGCAGAACCAGGGATTGAACTCAGGCCCTTGTGATTGCCAGGGAAGCACTTATTCTACTGAGCCATCTCCCCAGCCTGAAACATTCATTTCTACTTCCCCTCCCCTTCCTCTCCCTTCTCTCCCTCTTTTGGTCCCCTGTTCATTTGCAGAACATCTATCTCCCTGTTTTCTGTTATTTTTCTTGTTACATGTTAAGCATATGTATTTGATTTATTTCACTGTCGCATCCTTGTCTCAAGGTGCATATATTTTCCTCAGAAAAGGGTCCAATTTGTCCATCGAGTTGTAGTCCATCATATGTGAGCACCACATGTTCTTTATCCATTCATCTGTTGATGGACATATAGACCACTTACAAGATTTAGTTGTTAGGAGTTGTGCTGCTGTAATCCTGGGTGTACGCATATCACTGTAATATGATGTCTTTAATTCTTTTGGGAAGATATGTACAAGAGCAATATCTGGATTGAACAGAATTTCTAATTTTAGACTTTTTCGAGGAATCACTGTACTAATCCCCTACATTCCCACCAGCGTTGTAGCAATGTTCCTCTTTCCACTGTAGCCTGTCCAGCATTTGTTACTATTGGATTTCTTCTGGAGTAAGATGGCATCTTAGTGTTAATTTGCATTTCTTTAGTGACCTGAGATACTGGCCATCTTTTCATGTGTGTGTTGGCCATTTATACTTCTCATCTTCTGAGAAGTATGTTTATTCAGGTTACTCTTTTTTTATGCATTTGGTACAGGATCTCACTATTCAGCCTAGACTCGTAGTGATCCTCCTGTCTCAGCCTCCCTAGCACTGGGAGTACAGGTATGTGCCACCATGCCCTGACTTGTTCCAGCACAGCCTGCCTGGGCAGGGCCAGCACAGCATGTGGTACTGGAGATTGATGGTTACTCATTTTTAGATGGGGTCTTTTATTTGGAAGATCTATTAAAAAAAAAAAATTGCTTTTGTATTCTAGATACTAGTCTTCTAACCAAGGTGTAGCTCGCAGTTTTTGCTCATTCTATTAAGTTCTCCAGGAACTTTTTTTGGAGGGGAGGTGTTGGGGTTTGTTTCATTTTTGCTTTGTGGGGTTTGTTGGTTTGTTTGGTCTTTGTGAGACAGGGTTTTGCTATATAGTTCAGCCTTGACCTCACTTGTAGCTTAGGCTGGCCTCAAATTTACAGTGACCCTTCTGCCTCAGCCTCTTGAGTGCTGAGATTACAGGCATACGCTATTACACATAGCTGTTTCATTGTTGATTCTTTCCTTGCTACATAACATCTTAATTCTCTTACTACCTTCTGCTCTCCCACGCCCCTCCCTCCAATCTCTTGGTCCCTTTCTCTTGCTAAATTTTTTTCTTTTCTTTATGATCTACATAAATGATGGAAGATGCATCACTAAAAATAGATTGTTTCAAAAACAAGAGTAAGGTAGATTTTTTTTTTTTTTTTTGAGATACCACTATGTATCTTATGGTAATTTTGTGAGGAGATAATAAAATGAACCATTGGCTGTCATTCTTATAGAGGTCTTCAGAGATAAGTTGCCCAGTTAAGAATAGAAAATATACAGTATATTTAAAAATTTTAAGTACAGGCATGCCTGCCTTCTGAGGCAGAAGGATTGCTGCACATTTGAGACCAGCTTGGGCTACAAAGTAAGGTCAAGGCTAGCTTGACCTGCATGGGGGAACCAGCCTCACAGAAAAAATAAAAACAATTTAAATGTAATTTCTAATGCAGTTGCTTTTTTTTTTAAAAAAAAAAGTATA